TTATGAAAGCGATGAATATGACAGCATGTTGGATGCCAACCCTTGAACACGACTCAAAATGTTCTGTCGGTGTCTCATATTTGTCAAGTTTGCAGTAAGTAAGTAAAGGGTGTTAAGAAAAAACTGATCATGAAATGAAAAACATTAAAGAAATTATGAAAGACATTAAAGTGATGAAATAGGACAACACATGGATGCGAACCTTTTACCACGACTTAAAATGTTCTGTTGGTGTCTCAAAAATGTCAAATTAGCAGTTAATAAATTTCGGTCCCCTGTTATGACCAATGGTGGGATACCGAAATACAGTTGTATCCCGGCTTCCATCCTGTGAATTAAAGTGATGACATACGACAGCATTTTCGATGCCAACCTTTATAATTGATCTCAACTTAAAATGTTATGTTACTGGCTGAAAGTTTAGCAGCAAGTACAATGTAAAGTGATGTTGAGAAGAGATTGTCAATTCAAATGGGGGTACCCAAATATCACGGCTTCCTTTCCCGGGATAATTAGTCTCCCCTTATAAAAGACACTAAAGGGATGAAAAACGACAACACGATCTTTGAACATAACTCAAATATTATGTTGCTGGCTCAAAGTTGCTAGCTTAGCGGTAAGCGGGTCCCTTGAATTCCTTTTTGAACGAATACTATAGAACATTTGATGAGAAAAGACAACGTGTACAATGGTTACTGTTTTATTATGAAATATACTGCTAGATGAATCTAACCAAGGAGGTTCAAAAGAGATCTCCTTAATCTAACATAATGGGCATTGAATGGAAGATACGACATTGTTGCTTTGGGCCTTCGTAGTTTTTAGGCCGCGCCCCCTTCTGCCATATATGGAAGTGACCCCAAATTTCCCGGCGCCCCCATATCTCCCGGAACACCGGCTGCCGTGGCGGGTACAAACCTTCTCTGTGCGGCAAAAAAAAACGCGTTAAAATTCTACAAAACGCAGTATCAAAACCCCCACCAGCCCAGACGCCTGCACAGGAGGCTAAAAATTCAGGACAATATATTACCTGTTTTTTTATTCGTCGTCTAGCGTCTCAGCAAGGAGTCAATGGCATGAGGACAAAGGTCAATTTCAACAACCCCGGTCCGAACGTACCCTGGATGCCAAACTAGTATCGGGCCGTTAGCCTTTTTCCTTCGGCAGCCGAGAGCCCTTCGCCCGCCTGCCTAAATTACCGCTACGGGGGAGTTGAGCCCGATGGGAGTTGGCTGGCCAAACTCCCCCCGGGCTAGACTCCCCCGTAGCGGGAATTTACACCAGCGGGCGAAGGGCTTTTGCGGCCCGGACAGCGAGTTTGGATTCCAGGGTAGTCCGAACGCGACAGATGGTTTACCTGATCACCGGCTGCCTCACATTTCCTAAATTGTCCAGTAAACAGTTTACATCATCCGCTAAAAATGCCATTACAAGACATACGTGTGTACAGTCCCATTGGACCGTATATAGAAATTACTGAAAAGTGAAACTGACAAGTCTCTACACTTCATAAGTTCAAAAGTTCAGAAGTAACGTTACATGGAAGGTGTCGCTGTTTTTCCTTGACTCTTAAAACCGATAAAAAGTGAACATGTCTTTTTTGACAAGACCATATTAAGCTACATCTTATTGTAAGATTCTACTTGTTTTTATGGTGGAGACGGTGTCCTTAAAACATTAAGGTTGGATAATAATTGAATGATACACAAACAAAAACGCATGATGTGTTGTTCTTTGTCAAATACTACTGTTGATTTTACTATACAAAGCCTTGGTTCCCCATGTCTTGGCAGCAAACTTTGACCCTACATTGGCCGTGTTTTTGCCTCCATAGCATGCCAAAAACTGGGGGTTTGGGGGATCTTCAGGGTCTTTGGGAGCTATTTATTGATTGCATATAGACAATATAGCCGGCCTGGTTGAATTACCCCCGTTTTTTAAACCGTTTTAGAACTGGGCTAATCAGAAAACAGCGCAAAGACCACCAAACCCCCAGTTCTATAAGCCTGAGAGGCAAGGTCGTGTTTGCAATAGAAAGGGGCGTGTTATTTTTTAACTGACAAAATGTCTTCCACGAGCGACTTAGACGAAATGGCTTGACAAGTTGACAAACCGAAGGAACCAAGCAAAACTCAGGTAACACAGTTCTGTCCATAAAAACTGGTTTTAAACCCCTTTGGGTCCTACGGCTTCAACTAACAATTTGTACAATGCATACTCTTGTATCGGTGTAAAATATGAACGAATATCTTTAAGAGTCCAATTGTTCGCATTTGTGTTATTGAAAATTAATCTCTTCTTTTTAATTTCAAACCTGGCAAAAAAGAGGTACAGCCAAGCATGGTGACCAAGAGAAACCATCTGAAAACGTCTGCAACAACAGCTAGAAAATTTCATAAAAAGCATCGGTTCGTTCGTCACCTGCTTGCAAGAATTTTGTCCCCCCTATCACAAAAAAATAGCGTTTAGTTGGAAACAATGAGCCTTTTTACAATCAACATGCGATTTCTACATATCTACGAAAGAAAGGTGATTTGTTTGTTCACTGCTATATACATATATGTACATATGAAGGTAAACATATTATACCATTCCCGTTGTGATTTAAGAGAACAAGGAGGCCTTACCGATTAAAACTGGTCTGCAAATCACCTCAGGTTGGTACAAAGAATAACTCCTCACTAACCTCAGAATGCAGTCTGTTGTACGGATTGTGTGAGGTCTGAATATTATATAAAGTAACTGACCTAATACACTGACGCGCGCCGGTGCAGAACTTGTGCAGTAGTACTAGCAGGTAGACCCCAAGATTGCTTTTATAGGTCTCTTTAGAATAAAAATATGGAGTAGAAAAATACTAATAAATGCATTTTGAAGCTGCTATCTTCTCCTTGTAAATTCACTAGATTCACACGAGTGAATATCTTCATTACTTTTACGATTATAGAGGCAGATGTAAAATTCCCTTTCCCCACGTAGGTGAATGGTATCGCCCGGATTGGGCAACCCAAAACACGGGTTCACACAGAGGGCAACGTCCTTTCGAGCGTCGCATGAGGTAATGGTTTATTTCGCAACATGGCCCACGGTCATGACAGGTCATTTCCTGCAAGCGTGACATCACATAGCTAGCTACAAGCCACGCTGACCGACATGACACTATTGCAGTTTACACAACGAAATCCTGAGAGCTGAAACGTGCTCGAAATTTTGCTTCAATGTATATGCAAATACACTGCACGCTAACGTTACATGTAAACCATGCACAACATACAGTGCTGTAGTCGACAGCATTCGGCACAAGTATTCTCACATAGGACCACATCTAGACAGCATCTAGTGCGCGCATACATGCACAAATATTGCACTTAGGTCCCTCAAAAATATGTCAGCGCGAGAGAGATTGGCGATTGACCTACATCTACTAAAAAAACAACAAAATCACTGAGATAGTGAGAAAATGACACCCTACCTTTTCGGGGCCCCTCTCGTCCGCTCTATGGCTACACAACGTCAAGTACTGACTATCTTGTACTGCAGACCGTAGCTGTGTATGCTGTACGTCCGTGTGTGTATGACACACTAGATTTTTCGCTGTCAGGAGGCTACAAATCGCCGGACGCCATCATGCCGCCTGGTCGTCATGGTCTGTCAGGCTGCCCAATCTCGGGAACAAAGCGCGACCGACTGAAAACACCCTTCGGTCCCCCACCACTCGAACTGGGTTGTTCATTGACCGGCTTGTTAATGGGACCTCTGCGCGTGTGGTACTAGCATGGGGTGCCTGAATTGTTACTTTGCGAATGCTCTGTGTGTGAACGGAAACTGTCACCATGGATCATATTGAAGCAGGTGTATAATTTAAATCTCAAGGGAGATTTGGTCGATAAGCAACCTAGATGTAGTCTGGAAGCAAAGTAGTTGCATCAATAGCTCTGATATTGTTAGCAAATACGACCTTTTGTATTATAGCCCTGAACACAGTGGTACGCAAAAATATAAAGGAAGTATAGTCGGCATTTATTACTACGTAAACCAATTATCGTATTATAATCACAACTATATGGTATCCAAACAATGGGTTCCCTATTTCTGCAGCTTTGCAATAAATCTCAATAAAGATAGCGTGACCTAGTTTTTGAGCACACTGTGATTCTGCGTCTATAGATAATTTGCTACAAGCGTGCCGCCGAAGTGTGGCATCTAAAAACAAATTTAAACTACAAACTTGCTACAAAACTTAGCAGGTCCGTGCGTCGGTCTGAAGCTACTTTACTACTTACTAAGTTTAACCATCAAGAAAACTAAGACCAAAAGTAATTTTTATGGATGATGTCCGTGCGCGCATTGATTTTGGCCTGTTCCCAGAAATTCAGCTTCCTGTAACTGACCAATGTGTCAAGACATTGGTATAAGGAAGGAAAGGAAGGAAACTGGACAGGATGACAACTGCTGCTCCACTTGATTTAGTGCTGTTTGCATTAAGAATAAAAGACTTATTGGTTGTTATAATGTGTTCTTTCATTCAACTTATTTGTTTATTTGAATTTACCACAAGTGTGGAAGGGAGGACAAAACAGGTACATTGACACCTTTACAAGTTGTCCTCCCAATTTGTGTCCTAACATTTATCGTCCATTCACGGTATATTTCAAATCTAGGTATCTTGCTTTCTTCGGCCCTTCTTGTTTTTTTTCGCGCTATCGCATATTAGGGTCTCAAGTGGACGTCATCCATAAAAATTACTTGGTGTGGCCTAATGGTTTGATGTTCAAACAACGTCGACGAAAGAAAACAAACACGACGGTGCGTCCTGGAGGTTTCAACACGGATGTTAAGTGGTCGTCTATGATAGTAAACATTCATGTGTACTATCGGCCACGAGTGTGTGGACTTTTAGCAACTGGAAACATGGAAATAAACAATCGTCACAAAGGAGAGTCTGTCTGTGTATTGTGTCAATATCATCAATGTGTGATGAGTCTCCATTTGCAATCATTGGGAGAATCGCTAGGGGCGCTAGTTCCCCAGGTTAGGAGACATGTACTGGTTTGATTGCAGTTCAAATACCTTGACTTCGTCATACCAATCTGTCATTAAGTGGCAAACTAGAGAGGACAAACAAGTGCAACATGCGTTCTTTTATTTTATCGAACAGCAACTTCCAAATGCAATATGCCAACCAAGGGGATGTTGCCTAGATTGCATAGTTGTAGACAGATCACAGTGTTCAACATGTATATATGTAGTATTGTATATATTGATACGCGGAATCACATATCATTGTCAGGGAGAAGGTTGCAATACATAAGAAGTTTAAAATCCTGCACATTTCATTCCATAAGTTCATATTCACACACACAGTGGATCACGGCAAAACAACGTGTAAAATCTAACCCAAACTACAGTACGCTCTACGAAACTACAGTTTAAAAATCGACGACGTTGTTGCATAGTTTGAATTTTAGCTCGGTAGCAGAGCTAGTCGGACGGATGCTTGACGACCCAGTTGGCCTTCAGTGTCTCGTTGTTCGGGAACACGGCGGGTCGCCCTTTGGCCCGGAGTCGGCGCGCGAGGGCCTGTAAAAAATGTTTAAAACATGAGCAGATTCTATATGTACCAATGTTCACTCTGGTACTACAGTAATTGTGCTGAGGATGATGAGATCCTGTTCGTTCCATAAATCCTCTCTGGTCAGTCACTGTGAACGGTGGCACGCACCACACACACGGCCTGAAACTTTGAAGCTTCTACGAAACTCTCAAGTTTCTGTTTCCGCTGTTCGAAACTAGGATGTACAGTCTGGTCTGGTGCAGATAGAAAGCGTTACACTCTACCAGGCTTCAGCAGCGGCAAACTGTTCTCTTAGTGCGGACCAACGCCCCTGGCATATCATCTGTGTATTTATAGTTTACAGTTTTATCAAGAAAATCAGCCTCGCAGCATGAGGTACATGTACAACAAGCTCAATTGCACAGATTTGTACAATCGTATGTAGCAGAACATCAACTTACACACAAAAAAGAAACTCAGGCAACGCTATACAAAATGCCTATGGACGCAAAGTTTTCGGTCAACTTTTACTCTTTCCGAACTAAATGCCAAGAAAACGTTACGATCATTCTATCTCTCTCCCCAAATCGGCTCGGAGACCACACACCTCCATGATGCGGCAGATGTTGCGTGCATCGCTGATGGCGCTGTGGAGCTGCCCCTCCTGACTGATGCCCAGGGCCGACAACATGTCCGGGATGCGGGGGGTCGGCTGGCCGCGCCGCAGACGGATCCCCATGAACTGGCACGCAAAAACATAACACAAACTTTGTGGTACTGGGATGGTACATAAATACAGTTACATGTAAGCTAAGGCCACACCAAGTAAATTGTATGGATGACGTCCGCGCGCGCATTGATTTTGGCCTGTTCCTAGAAAAAAAAACCCAAGAAATTCCGCTTCCTGTAACTATGACCAAAGAGTCACGACGGTGCTGCAAATCGTCAGATTGACATGAAATCCGTAAAGCGAAATGGGTAAAGAGCAAAAATGTGATGAAAGAAACAGGACAGGATGACAACTGCTGTTCCACCTGATTTATTTCTATTTTGATGGTGAATGAAAGACTTCTTGCTTGTTAATCTGTGTCACCTCATTCAATTTGTGTCCTAACATTTGTCGTCTCTTAGTATATTTCTAATCTAGGCATCTTGTTTTTTAGGGCCCTTCTTGTTTTTTTTTCGCCCTCTCGCATTAGATTTAGGGTCTCTAACGGACGTCATCCATAAAATTTACTTGGTGTGGCCTAAGCTAATCTACCCAAAACAAGAGTGAGTGTGATATGGTATGAGGATGTAGTATGGGATGAAAATTGGCTTTTACAATCATTGGATGAATTTATAACGTCTAGATAGTCTTTAATATATTTTCCTACGTATGCCATGCAGGGGTTGTCACATGTCTTTATATACTTAGATTTACTATTCAAGTCCATTGAAATAAATCCTGTTATAGAGAAGTAGGGACGTCGCGTATGAATGTATGAAGAATAAAAAGTTGGAATTAAATGATAAGTTAGGCAGTTCAAGTCGACCAAATGCAGCGATACATTTCCAACCCTTCCCCCATAAAGGGGCTACTACATGTACTTTCCCTTTAGGCCACACCAAGTAAATTTTATGGATGACGTGACTCTTTGGTCATAGTTACAGGAAGTGGAATTTCTTGTTTTTTTTTCTAGGAACAGGCCAAAATCAATGCGCGCGCGGACGTCATTCATAAAATTTACTCGGTGTGGCCTTACCTAATCATACAGCTTACATTAGCTTAGTATACGTACCTGCATGTAGTGAACCTTGATGTTAGAGAACCTCCGGGCAAAGCTTGGGAACGACATCCGGGACACCTCGCACTGGGACCGCATGATCTGATTACAGTCGAAGATGCTACAAGAAGGAAGTCCTTTTATTATACAAACTACATATATTATCACAAAAGTTCATATGTGTTGACGTCACACTTCAAAGAAGCCACGTGACAAGCTTCACTGGGTCAGTCTACTGAGGAAAACCAGAGTGACTGGTCGAAAGCTCTAGGTGTGAGAACTTTTTGTCTTGGATCTAAAGTTTTAACTCTAATCAACTAACTTTTACATATATTGTCGTCAGTGTCCAAGACATAGATTCCTTACTTGGCACTGGTAGACACACTATACATGTAATAGTACATGTATATCTGCTTCCCCTGATGCCCAAGTTAAGTATAGAAATGTAAAAAAAACTTACTCAAACACATTCATATATATGGTCAGACAGGAGTCTAAATCCCTCCTGCTATGAAATTGCAACATGGTGTAAACCAACACTTGTTACCATAGCAACAGACACAACATTGGTTCAGGTCAGAGGTCACTGTTTGGAGAAGAAGAAGAAGAAGAGGAAGAAGAAACTGAGCAAAAACAATGTTCCTTCGGTAAACATAACAAGAAAAATCCTACAACATTGCCCAATAAGATTCCTACAAATTGAACTACATCTGATGGCAATGCATGATGACCCTTCATCATCATCATCATCATTCATCCTCCATAATAAAAGTTAGCTCGCCAAAACTGTTTGTCATACATCACAGAGATAAGATCATGTCCCTCCAAGCCCGTTTCAGTTTCAATAAGTTTCTTAAGTGTTATGTTTGGGCGTCCTACTCTTCTCGTACCGGTATCAGGATACCCTTACCCGTCTGTCACCAGTGCAAAGTTGGAGTCTGTCAGGCCTCTGCCGGACAGCCATTTCTGGAAGCGGTCAAACACCACGGGGAAGGGGCTGGCAGCGTCCACCGTGTTCTGTTGTGAATGAAGCGATTAGTTTTAACACGACGTTACTCATAAATGGCGTCACAAAACATCTTCTCCTACGTATAGCATGTTCATAACAATGTGCTTATTTAGTTTTATTCAACAGAAAGGCTACTCTAAAGAAAGATATACGTATAATCGAACAAAAACAACAGTTGCTAAGTCCTTGGTCTATCTGGTGTATACATTCTCCAGGCTCTATACTGATCGCCATGTGTACCTGCATGAAAGTTCATCGGAGTTGGTAAATTACAATTTATGAGAATTAAAACGGGACTATTTTGCGAGGGGAGTGAAGGAAACCGTCTACACCAGGGCATACTAAACTTCTCTCAACCGGGACGGGGGGCGATACCGACTTTCGACGAACTTTGACCCAGTGCTGACGTCACACGTGGAAAAATCACGTATCTACAGCACTGGAGTCATATAGCTGATGAAGACCGAGCGATTAGGTCAAAAATTCCGCCAAGTCTAATTTCTTTGAGTTGGTGAACAGTTTGATTCTCATTAGGCATGTGTACATGTACCTGCTGTATCTTGGTGAGATCCTTGCAGAACTCATGGAGGACGGGGTTCTCCACTGGCCTGCAGTACTCGTGGAATTCGTCAATCTGAAGGACAGGACAACAATAGGGAATCAAATGATGGCAACAACAACAAGGATCAGTTCATCGTTAATAAAAGTCGTAACAGTTCCTTCTTGATTTGGAGTGCTTTGACAACGGGAACTTTCGTCACAGCCATATTAGACCCACTCGGTTGTAAGTTAGTAACACTATATCAAAGACAGACTAGTGCTAGCCGCTGTTGTTTGATTAATTAGGATTTATTAGGTCTTATTCTATACTTCTTTCTTGTACTTTGTTCATTTTTTGTTGCCATACTTTGTACAATGTACAAAGTTATTCTATATTCCTGACATATGTTCCTCTAGGCACCGGCTTTTGCCAACAAAAATAGTTAGAAAAACGTTCCTCTTTGTAACGTCTTTGTTTGGTTCAAATTGACAAAAGCTTTATTGTGTATTCCTGTGTTTGTAATGGTACTATAAGCAAACTTAAAAAACGCATTATAAAACGTTATATCGCGATTCTTACCGACGTTATGTCATGATTCTTACTGACTTGTACGAACAAGGAACTTATTTTGATCACACTAGTACTTGTTTACAACAAAGTCAACAATACTCCATACAATGATCATCTAGTTTCGATGACGTTCGCCATTTTCGATACGTCACATAGTTTCGAAAACGGGTCAATAACTATAAATATAGCACATATTGACACAATGTTAGGAGGTGACATATTGATCGATGTATGTGGTTAAGTAAACAATGTCCGAAACTCAGACATCCTATGTTCCTGTATATAATACACAGATAGCCTTGCTTTCTCTCCAAAGTGTTAAAGGTATCCATTGCGATTTCAAGGCAGCAAAACTGGAAATATTCTGAATAAGGCAATCTTTGTGATATTAACACATATTGCTTCACATTAGCACATTTGAATCAGCATTTCGTACTTTGGGAATTTAAAAAAAACTGCAGAAGCAAGCCCCAAGATGAGTCCTTTATATTCTGGGCGATGCCCTAAATATCAGCCAAGGGCCCTTCCAGTAACCATTTTCCGTCAGGATTTTGGGGAATTTGTGCTCCATGAGGGTCACTATACATCAGGATAGTGTGGTTTTAACTCAGTATGTAGATAAATGACTAGAATATTGGCTTTGAAAAATCAGGTTTCCGAGCTCTAAAAACTGCATTGGATGCCTTTAGTATCGAACTTTAAATGGACATAATATGGTGACATATACATTGGTAACACGTTAATCTAACAACGGATGTTAAGCTAAACAGGAACTTTGGGTTTACCATGCAGCTTCCGTTCTTTCTTTGCTTTTCCTCTGTTTGTTATAATCTATGTAGTGTCAGACTATTTTCAGCGTTGTATCCTGTCTCGTTTCTACACCTAACGTTTCGTTTTGTTAATCTACTATACTTGTTTGATGTTAATCGCTGCTGGGGCCCTCTGGTTCAAAGCTACGAACTTTGTCAAGCGTTTGTTGACATAAAAATACATGTACTTGTATATCCAAAGCATTGAATAGTATACATACTTTTATTTTAACTAACACAACGACAGTCAATTTTGTTATAACCAACGTTTCTTTCTGCTCATGATCAAGGTGTGAGGAATTAATTCTGCTAGCATATATTCTAGTTCTGATCAGATTGTAGGAGAAATGTGGCTGTGTTAAACGATTCAACTGTGATACTTGTTAATAACCTGTTGAAGTCATTCAGTCAATAAGACAGTATACATACCATTTGGAAGTTACTCCCATCCACGATGACGGCACCAAACTCGATAATTTCGGTCCGGAAGTCCGCCCGACGCGGTTTGACACATGTCGCCTCAAAATCCACCACGCAGTAGTACTTGGGAGAGTGCCCGTACGCCATTTGGGTTAATTTTCCTCAAAAACTAAGCGCTGTTTGCACGTGTGTGTGTGTTAGCTAGGCTGACCTACCTTGTTCTGCACGAACAAAAATGTTGCGGCCACACCTTGATCATAGTTTCGGTCGTGGGCGTAACATAGCCTGGTATCCAGTCTACCGTGGTTGGGGCAGGCTGTCTGCGGGGCTCGAATAGTTTCCTCCCCGTCCAGCCCAACAGGCCGCCCGGTAGGAGTTTTGCACGCCGGGTGGGGCTAATCAAACTCCCGACGTGAAAAACCTACCGGGGAACCTAGCTCAGGTCGGCGGGGAAGAGCTTCAGCAGCCCCGAAGAAAACCCGCCCCAACCACGGTAGACTGGATACCAGGTTAGGGCGTACACGTAGAATGCCATTGTCTGGTGGCGTGACGTGTGTTATCTGAGGTAAAGGTCAACAATGCGGATGTTTTGTCATCTTTGACCTTGCCATCGTGGGAATGTTCTTACCTGTGGTACTATCAGGGTGAAAGGAGAAAAAGAATGTTTAGCAAAAGAAAACAGTTACTCTAGCAACTGGATATGATTTTTGGAAGCGGTCAGACGTTTCAGGTAGCATCCACTACCTTTCGTCAGTGATACTATACTAGTCTAAGAGAGCTTATAAGAAATGCAGATTTATAAGCAAGAACTATTGATTGATGTGCTTATAAACCTGCATTTCTGTGCAAGTTCTCTAGTGTGAAAGGTAGTAGTGGATGCTACCTGAAACGTCTGACCGCTTCCAAAAATCATATCTAGTTGCTTGAGTAACTGTTTTTTGGCGTATCTTTACCTGCTCTAACCTTCACCGACGTGAAAAGAATGTTTGTCACAATACCACAGGTATATTGTGGTTAACGTGGTCATTTGCCGTGACGTGTATAATAGAATCTACAGTTCAAGCTGTCATGAACTTGAAAGATGACTAATTACTACTACTGTGAAATCGTCCAATTACGTCATAGTAACGGTTGCATGTCCAAAGTCAGTTTTTCTCAGTGGGTGATACCATTTTGAACTATAGAGGGGGTACTGATATCGATGACGCGCCTGTAGTTTCGGAACTCTATTGTTTATATAGAAACATGATACGACATGGTGTAAGACCAGACGTGTCTATTGTACCATAGTCAGGTATCTAGAAAATGTTGCTGGTAAACAAGTGCCCCAGGTGTTTTGTTCGTACCCTAACTGAACAACTCGACTAAATGCAAAGACATGCAAAGACGATGTGGGGTCGTGTGGCGTAGCGGCAGCGTTCTCGACTCGGAACCAGTGGCCCCGGGTTCGAGTCCTGACATGCCACCGATCTTGTGCCCTTGGGAAAGGCACTTTACACGACTTTCCTCACTTTGCTCAGGTGTAAATGAGTATTGTACTGTCCCTGTGTTGGTGGCGGCATTAATATAAGTTGAAAAAACTTGAGTGTGCTGTCACCACGTCTTGTGATTACATGTTTCGGAATATAAAAAAAAAAATGCAAAGACTCGCAGGCTTTCGTCAGAGGAAAACAGTCGAATATGTATCTATTATGTTAACAGAAGGAAAACATTGTTTTTGCTCTGTTTCTTCTTTTTCCGTTCCAAACACTGACCTGGTCAATGACCTGAACCAGGCTGTCTGTCACCATGGTAACTGGTGTTGGGTTACATAATGTTGCAATATTTTAGTAGGAGGGATTTAGACTCCTGTCACCATATATGTGAATGTGTTTGAGTAAGAATTAACAGAGCAGACCATGTATGCAAATGTAAACATTAATCATTTGTTTTGCAAATGTTACCTTTCTAGTTATTTGTTAACCACCACATGGTACCTGTGTCTACGCAGGGCAGTATGCGGCTTACGACTGCTCAAACGCCGTTTAGTCTAGATGTATCTCCGGCTACAGTCCTTCTCGCAAAATGGTAAGATAAAAACTCAAATCAGGCATCGTCTCAATATTGCACATGTCACGCATTTCACCAGCATTAAATTATGCAGGATTTTCGGTCTCAGTACGTGGCGGAAAAGCAAAGGGACGCTGATGTTGTTCAAACCCCAGCAAAAGTATTATCATTTGCATTTTATCTGTGGTCTATATAGCATCTACATCTGCCAAATAGAAGGTACGGTCTAAGCGTTATCAATGCCTATTGTTATTGTCAGCAACCGCAATATGTACAACGGACTCAACCGTGGTGCTGATTGGCCATCAGACTGAGATACCACGGACACAATCTTGGTGCTGATTGGCCATCAGACTGAGATTCCACGGACACAACCTTGGTGCTGATTGGCCATCAGACTGAAATTCCACGGACTCAACCTTGGTGCTGATTGGTCATCAGACTAAGATACCACAGACTCAACCTTGGTGCTGATTGGTCATCAGAATAAGATACCACGGACTCAACCTTGGTGCTGATTGGCCATCAGACTGAAATTCCACGGACTCAACCTTGGTGCTGATTGGTCATCAGACTAAAATTCCACGAACTCAACCTTGGTGCTGATTGGTCATCAGACTGAAATTCCACGGACTCAACCTTGGTGCTGATTGGTCATCAGACTAAGATACCACAGACTCAACCTTGGTGCTGATTGGTCATCAGAATAAGATACCACGGACTCAACCTTGGTGCTGATTGGCCATCAGACTGAAATTCCACGGACTCAACCTTGGTGCTGATTGGTCATCAGACTAAAATTCCACGAACTCAACCTTGGTGCTGATTGGTCATCAGACTGAAATTACACGGACTCAACCTTGGTGCTGATTGGTCATCAGACTGAAATTTCACGGACTCAACCTTGGTGCTGATTGGCCATCAGACTGAAATTCCACGGACTCAACCTTGGTGCTGATTGGTCATCAGACTAAAATTCCACGAACTCAACCTTGGTGCTGATTGGTCATCAGACTGAAATTCCACGGACTCAACCTTGGTACTGATTAGTCATCAGACTGAGATACCACGGGCTCAACCTTGGTGCTGATTGGCCATCGGACTGAAATTACACGGACTCAACCTTGGTACTGATTAGTCATCAGACTGAGATACCACGGGCTCAACCTTGGTGCTGATTGGCCATCAGACTGAAATTCCACGGACTCAACCTTGGTGCTGATTGGCCATCAGACTGACAATCCACGAGCTCAACCTTGGTGCTGATTGGTCATCAGACTGAGATACCACGGACTCAACCTTGGTACTGATTGGCCATCAGACTGAAAAGCGCCACCATGCAGAATCAAGCTGTTCTGCAGCACTTCTTTGCAATGTGCACTTGAGATGCATTCCATTCACCTAACTCTATGATCGCACTCACATAGTCAAGCATTGTGGTTAAACTATTAAAGCGTCATTTTCTTTAATAATTTTTACTGATGATAGAAGTTATGTCTGTTATTAAGAATGATATCTGTAGATCAAAACCATTGAAAGATTTTTCGGATTACAGGATAAACAGGTGATTTAGAGGTCATCATGAGGTCAATCCGTGTGATTTAATGGGAGCCGGTATGTTATTGTATTAATGTGAGTGACAGTTTTGTGTAGGTCATAAACGCATGTACATAAAATTTACTATGATATTTCCATTCATTCGTGAAAGATAAACTCATTACAACCATATCCTTTCATGTAAAAAAATCCTTTTTAAAAATGACATTCAAATGACCGAGTACCTTCACACCAGACGACATAAATTCGCACGCGTACGATTTGACAGGAGATCGATAATTTGCGGCGGTCCCTAATTGTTTTAGTGCGTTATCCCGTGATCATCGAAATCCCCGTCCCCACAGAGCCAACCTTCCCTCGTCACGCACCCAACTGCCGCTCGTTACTCATTCACACAGCCGCGAGGGTTGACAAATGTGGGGCCATCATTACTCTCACTGCTGCGAGAGATGACGAATGTGCTGCCAACTTTACTACTCTTTTTTTATCACAAAACGCGCCGTCGTCTATCAAGACACCGCAGCTATCTGGAAAGAAAACTTCCCTCAAGGAAGAGGATTAGAACGCATCACGTAATGTGCTTTAAAAGGAGGTCATCCATTTCTAAGTGCTAGTGACATGGAAGGCCGACTTGTATCAGTTCCAACATAGTCTTCAAAGTCAAGTTGAAGCATCCTCACTACTCTCACGGCCACGGACACCATGTGACTCACCTTACCAGACTCAGGCTTGGTTTCAGCCAGCTGAACTACCACCTATTCCAACATCACTGTATCAGTAGTCCCGAGTGCAAATGTGGGCATCCAAATGAGACCCCTGATCACTATTTATTACACTGCAAACTTTATAATACTGAAAGGACCAAAATGTTGTTATCCATATCTTGCCTTCATCTTGAAAACATACATACTTCCTTCCGACCCACTCAACGCAAACGACGCCACATTATGTACTTTATTACTTCTTACAGGCAGCCCCTCCCTCCCATACCCTACTAACTGCCGTATCTTTGATATTGTGTTTAACTATATCCACCACTCTGGAAGATTTGACCAATCTCATTAATGTTATGATATAGGTATTGGTGCGCCAGCCACTTTCATTTTATGTTTATGTTATACTTTATGTCATCTTTATGTTTACATTTGTATTATGTTTTATGAGCAGCGGGTTTACATAAGCACAACAAGTGCTTCCTATCCAATGCTCAAAAATCCATGTGAATAAAATAAAATAAAATAAAAACGTTGAAGCATCAGACATTGACCCTGTATTGTATTGTTCACCATGTGTATAGGGACGCTCTTCAAGCCATGTGGCACCACAAATTCTGCGTTCCCTGTAGAGTAGAGCGTAATTACCAGTATTTAATTAACCAGCCTAAAACGTCCCGTACTAATGAGTTGGGACAACAATATATGATCAGAGTAATTGTGTTCTATGTCAGGGAAATGATAATGTCACATTGCTTATTGAGAATTCACCGACAAGCACCGTTTCATTTCAAAATGTATATTTTTCACATTGCACCTGTCAAGTAACACGCAGTTTTTGATGTTCCTTAGGCCACAGCAACAAAAAATCATGGATGACATCAGCGCGCGCATTAATTTTCGCCTGATTTTGAAAAAAAGAAGAAATTTTGTTGCCTTCTGACAGTGGTTAACATGCCGAAAATGGGCAAAGACGTCTGTTGCCATGCCGGAAGGTGGAAGGCAGATAACTATGAAAACAGGAGACAAGAAAATACTCTGATCTAATGTTTTGTTTCTTACTTTGATGCAGTGATATGTGATGTTGGATGTGTATATGTGATGTTCCCACTTAATAAAAACCGTTTATACAATGATTGAGTCAAATTCTAAATGTAGGAACCTTGGTTTTTTTTCGGCTCGCCTTGTTTTTTTTCACCCGCTCGCATTAGATTTGGAGTCTGCGGAGGATGTCATCCATAAAATTTACGTGCTGTGGCCTAATATGTGCTACAACTACTTCGAAGCCCTTGAGCTACTCCTTTTATAAGAGGGGTAGAGATACTGTATAAAGCTGCCATTACATTAAGCTGTCGGGGCTCTGTCTCTACGCGCAGTGTAGTCTACCCTCAAGCCACTTTTTACCGACGAATAATCGGCGGGGATATTTCATCCATTTGATAGGCTTACTACGTTTGTTTAGTCTTCACCAGGCCAGGGAATCAGCTACTGGGCTTGAGAGAACTATTTTAATAGTATGGTTGACTAAACATCTTGACAAATTATCCTCCCTGTTTAGCCAATTTCTGCTATGTTTCCAGGTCACTGAGAACTAGGGTTTGATATCGAGAGGCAATTTAACAATGTATGGGTCTATTAAAGAAATATAACCACTAGTACTAGTATTCAGTGTTGGGGAATGGAGAAGCATTTTTGCACTGAGTCTGCAGAATTATTTCAGAAAAGACGTTCAAAAACTGTCCACAGCCATAGGATTGTAGCCTCTACCAGGCTTTGGGGAAACGGCTGGAAAGAGTAAAAAAAAGGCCGAAAAGATACATGATATGCTAGGGGAGCGGCAAACTGTTCCTTAACCGCAGACAAACTCTCCTTGCATATTATCACCTGACTATCTATTTGGCTAATTTCTACTCCTTCCAGCCGTTTCCCGTAGCCTGGTAGAGGCTAACATCTTATGGCTGTAAACAGTTTTTGAACGCGATGTTCTGAAATGATTTTGCTTCCCGAAGCCTGTAGAGGCTAGTAAGGCCATGTTGATTTGATTATATGGATGACATCCACGCGCGCATGAATTTTCGGCCGTTTCCAAAAAAAAAAAAGTTTTCAACCATACTGTAAATCGTACAAAACAGTTGCAAAATGAGCAAAATATACCATAAGTTACAAAAAAAATTAATAAAAACTATACCTATGTCGTAGAATGCCAAAATCAAACGAAAAAAGACGAAATTGTAAAGAAATGAACTTTATGAACTTGAAGATTATTCGCCAAACCATATTCTGTGCCATTTGCTCAACCCTCATGACCACGTAGATTTCAAAATGAAAAGAACTTTTTTTTTGCAAAACTTTTTTTTATTCGCACGCGCGCATCAGTTTTGGGGCTCCAGGAGAATGTCATCCATATAATCAAATCAACATGGCCTAAGGGGGCCAATCCTCATCAATGTCACACAGACAGTAGGACGTCCAGAGGCCGATTCAGGTCAGGAGTCCGATTCAGGTCATGGATAGATTTATTGAATAGTATTAGGGTACCATTGTTCAAGGGCGTATAACTTGTCAGTGGGAATATTGCATTGTTCAAAATCGTTCGAAATACATTGTATGTGGCACGAACATTATTTCCAGTGGACGAATAGCTCAATCAAGAAAAAAGGCAAGGGAGGGGGAAGAAACTGAATATCTCCATTAATCTACCATATAGAGAATTTCTGAATCTCTTTTTGGTAAATTTATAGAGAACCACATAGAAACGTTTTGGTGGTATAAAGGGATAAAATTTTCTACCTATCCCATTTAAAAGTAGTTAGCACGTTTAAAACTGTTTAGTGCTAAATAAATGGGATGAATAACCAAAGCTGTAAGAAGATCTAGTAGGACGTGTGAGATAGAAAGAAATCTGGCAGAGAATTTGCTATAAGGCCACAAGAAGTAATTTTTATGGATGACATCAGCGCGCGCATTAATTTTCGCCTGATTTTGGAAAAAAACAAGAAATTTTGTTGCCTTCTGACAGTGTTCGACATGCCGAAAATGGGCAAAGATGTCTGTTGCCATGCCGGAAGGTGGATGGCAGATAACTATGAAGAGAGGAGACAAGAAAAGGCTCTGATTTAATGTTTTGTCTCTTACTTTGATGCAGTGATATGTGATGTTGGTAAACAATTTGTACAATGATTGAGTCAACATTTTGAAATGTAGGAACACTTTTTTTTCGCCCGCTCGCATTAGATTTGGAGTCTGAGGAGGATGTCATCCATAAAATTTACTAGCTGTGGCCTTACGGGAGAGAGACAACACCCATCCCGCCCGATTGGCCTCTGCAGCCGCCTTCCACTGACTGACACTGCCCGGGGCTGGCGGCGTTAGCAAGCCAGACATGTGGAGTGGTGTATCACATGATAGACTGATAAGGCTTGCAATTGGCAACCTTTCAGTAACTTACATTACAACAGTTACGTATACTACAGAGTCAAAATTACCGAAATAAACGCCTTCATCACCAGAAAATTATACATTATGAATACAGTTCTCGATGCGTTTCTATGTTTGCTAGATTTTTTCTTTAAACGAAAAGGTGAGTGGTATAACTGAATTGCTGTTTCTGTCAAGAAAATAGCATTTTTATCAGTGACGCTACAACGACCCATCCTAACCTAAAGCGAAGAAATCAAAGCAAAATTTCGTGGGTACCAAGGTGTTCGCAAGTGCTCAATATACATGTACACCAAAATATATCCGAAGACATATATCTGTATTTCCCTCAAATGGCTGAACTCACATGGCCTGAAATACCTTCACATCGCCCAAAACAAACTACATGTACTTTGAGAGACGATAACGATGTCAGTGTCAAGGGGGCGAAAGTTTGACGCAACGGGGTATCTTAGTCAAGACTCAACGTAGCTAGGGTACAAAAATTATCAAGTAATACATAAAATTACTTTCCTGGGTTAAAAAAAATCCATTTAGAACAGAGCGGGGCCCAGTAAGACGTACAGCTTTCATTTTACCCAACAGACCACGGCCTAATATAATCCCGTACGGCGTGTGAACGTGCGTTTCCGGAGCAATGATGTGTACACATCAGGTCTGCCAGCCACATAAATCTCGGATATTTCGCGTGGTTTTCCACGGTGACGGTGAGGCTGAAGACATTGATGTGTTGTCTGCGGCCTCCTTAGTTGTTGGTGTGAAATGAGGCGGTTCAGATGCCGTCAGTCGGCCGGCGGGTTGGGCTGCGGACGTCCGGCTGCCTCCTGCCTGTGTCGCGGCCGTTCTAGAACGCCAGGGTTTACCAGCGGCGGCAGCTTCCATTGTGAGGGCACAAACAGATATTTTCCCCAAGCTGCGGACGCAAGCAAAAAGAACAGATGATTCGGATTACGAGAGGAAGCTGCGGCATTTGGACAGATTACGGCTCCCTCCCCGCACGCGCCGGGGTTTGGCGTGACTCTCCGCGATCCAATCGATAGGGATGGCCCACAACTGCTCGTGTAATGAGGTTGTGTACTAGGGGAGGGGACATCAATTATAATTCCGCCATGACAACCTCGTCTGCACGTTTCAGAGGTTGCCTGAGTTTGTTCCGGCGCTCGTTTGCACTGCATTCCATGGCTCTAGCGCAGGTCATCGGCAATGCTTCAGCGGGGGAGACCTGTGTCATCCCAGCGACTGGGAAGAACGGTACGGCGAGGACTTTTGTCTGCCCGGAACCACTCGATAGCGAGAAGGACACTTACTGCTGCGGGTTCTCTCCCAATTACTTCTGCTGCTCTAAGCCGTTCGACACTTTCGCAGTTGTGATGGGAGGACTTCTCACCAGTATTCTGTTCTTGGCCGTCAGCTATGCCATCATCGCGTACATCAACAACTTCGTCAGGAGGCGGCGTGCCCGCAGAATCCAACACGGCATGGCGCCCTGCCGGCCCGACTCGGAGATTTTCCAGTTCGCGGAGGGACTCTCGGCAGAGGAGCGGGAGAAGGCGATTCTGGCCAGGGTTACGGGAGACGATAGCCCCAGTCAGGATCAGCGGGAGTCGCCGCCGCCTTCGCCGCAGCACAGGTTGATCCTACCGGCAGCGGAGTGCAGGAAGAACTCGTCCTCCACGTTTAACGACGAGGAAGAAGCGGGTCTGCACTACAGGGAAGACCTGGAGGATCACAGGGTGGAACTGGACGAGGATATGTTCATGACGGACGTGCGCACGCGAAGGAGTGCCGAGGGGAGGCCGAAAGGTGCCGCATCCCGTCTGGAGGACCACGCTGCTGTAGTGATCTTGCCGAGCGACAACCAGGGTAGGACTACCACTACTGCCATCGCCTAAACCAGCAGGAAACTAAAAACATCACACGGGAACATTTCCTAGGACTTTTGTCTTCCGGGATGCATAATATTTATGCACAGTAAAATATGTGTGGCAGCAAATACGTTGACTACCAGGTGCTCATCCGTACGTACACAAAAAAGGTATTTGGCAAGATCGTTTTCAGCTTCCAGTACAGTATCAATGGCGTTCATTACTTTTTGATTTAAATCATGTATGTTGCATAACGTTTTCACGATACTACCGGGGGCATGAGGTTGCTATGTGAATGTTCAGCTCATCAGAAAGAGGATTTCGAGATTACCGTTACCCGTTTTAAATCACTTTGCCGGCATTAACCGAAGGAATGCTCTTAGTGCTCTGTTTTACTGGCCCCAGCTTACACTGTGGTGCATGGGGCAAGCAAGAGGGTGTGTGTACCACACGCAAGTTTCTATCCCCGTCAAAACATTGTAAAAACATTTTTCTCTTCAGGAAAGACTCCAAAATTTGTTTGAAATGTGAAATTAGACAGCAGATGCCGTACTAATATTAGGCCAGACGTTCCGAGCGACATTGGCCCCAGTAATGCTATTACTTACATGCCTGATTCAGTTGGTAAACAGATTTCAAATGGAAAAGAGGTCTCTGTGGATCGTGTCTAATGAATGGCACCGTAGGGCAGAAGTTCTCATCTATCTGCACACCATTGGGTTCACCCTAGGGACCGTTTTGTATCATCGTTATCTTCTTCATACAAAAGTGATTTCGTGTACCTCTTCCCTCGAAAATGTTGAGATCTTCGCTCTTACGTCATTAAAGCAAATGCTGCATCGTAGCAAATATTCTAAATTTCCCCTCAAATTCTTATTCATATGAGTGACAAACGCTGGACCAAACATGCACACGTATAAGAAAACTAGATTCGTTGACCGTAATCGCCCGTACTGAAGATACAATCCCCAGAATGTTGCTGAGCACTTCCGCTTGGCTTGTTCAACAAGGTCAGACAATAGCGTAGTGTGTTATACAATCTATCTATTTGTCTTTTTCATCAACGCAATTCGACATTTACAAATGGCAACGATATAATGAATGAATAACTCGTAAACACGGCATCGGTTGTGCTCTAATTTCTCACTTGAAACAGGCATAGAAATTGCTAGAATTAAAGTCCAAACATGACTAACACGACTACACCCAATCGATTAGACAAGGAATGTCAGCATATCACATGGTGATCATGTACGTCCGGTTTTGCTTTATCTTTCACTTTATCTTCCGTTCTTTTTACAACATTCTCCTTCTCCCCTTGCACTAACATGAGGTTCGCTCGGGTAATGCTTCCGGCCTGTGTTCACCGTAACGTCACGCAAGTATTTAATCAGGGAGAGATTTGAGCGCCACAGCCAGATTAGGAAACCCTCGACGGGATTCTGCGATCCCACACATGAAACCGATTGAATCTCTGCCAACCATTTTGTTTATCAGCTCGTCTAAAAACGATATTTTACTCTTGTACACACCCGTTAAATTCTGCGATCCCACACATGAAACCGGGATTCTGCGATCCCACACATGAAACCGGGATTCTGCGATCCCACACATGAAACCGATTGAATCTCTGCCAACCATTTTGTTTATCTTCTCGTCTAAAAACTATATTTTAGTCTTGTACACACCCGTTAAATTCTGCGATCGCATACATGAATTCTGCGATCCCACACATGAAACCGGGATTCTGCGATCCCACACATGATACCGATTGAATCTCTGCCAACCATTTTGTTTATCTTCTCGTATAAAAACGATATTTTACTCTTGTGAACACCCGTTAAATTCTGCGATCCCACACACGAAATCGGGATTCTGCGATCCCACACATATGTACATGAAATCGGGATTCTGCGATCCCACACATGAAACCGATTGAATCTCTGCCAACCATTTTGTTTATCTTCTCGTCTAAAAACGATATTTTACTCTTGTAAACACCCCTTAAATTCTGCGATCCCACACATGAAACCGGGATTCTGCGATCCCACACATGAAATCGGGATTCTGCGATCCCACACATGAAACCGATTGAATCTCTGCCAACCATTTTGTTTATCAGCTCGTCTAAAAACGATATTTTAGTCTTGTAAACACCCGTTGAATTCTGCGATCCCACACATGAAACCGGGATTCTGCGATCCCACACATGAAACCGATTGAATCTCTGCCAACCATTTTCTTTATCTTGCCGCCTAAAAACGATATTTTACTCTTGTACACACCCGTTAAGCAATGCTTTTTGTATCGAAATGCCATTACTGTACATGTACTTTAAAAGATATGGTGCGTATGTTAACTACATCGATATATCGAGAATGCCACGCATAGCCCAAAGTGCCAATTTTTCACCAAATCGAATCAAAGTGTGGTACAAAAGAAGGATGTAGAATGGATCAATAGGATTAAAAAGCCTCTATTGTACCCATCCGACAGTACGTTTTGTCGGCGCCAGGAAATATTGTTACCAGTTCATGTGACAGCAATAAAGTCTGAGACGGTTCCTGAATATGTCCCTTGTCCCGTGAGAGCGTCAGTGTTAAGACACAGGGTGAAACACACGATCCTCCGTAGCAGGCTTATAGAACTGGGGGTTTGGTGGTCTTCGGCTGTTTTCTGATTAGCCCAGTTCTAAAAAACGGGGGTAGTTCAACCAGGCCGGCTATGTTGTCTATATGCAATCGGAAAATAGCACATAAAAGATCCCAAAGACCCTCAAAACCCCCAGTTTTTGGCATGCTATGGAGGCTACGATCACCTAGAATATGCGGCGACAGTATATGGGATCCATATACAAAGAAATACAAAGATAAACTGGAGAGGGTGCAGAATCAAGCTGCAAGATTCTGTACGAACAAGTATAAAGTGCTAGTGTCACGGAAATGAAAAGAAACCTACGGTGGGTCTCACTGACAGGCGAAAAATGTCCCGACTATGCATGATGTACAAAATTACTAGTAAATTGGTGGATATACCAAGTATTAAGTACCTACTACCAGCTCAAAAAAGAGCAAGACATAGTCATGCCTTCAACGTATCAGAGCTATCAACCATAGGCTGAGGGGTTAAAACTCCTTATTCCTGGAACTATCGTAGAGTGGAACTCGCTGCCACCAAGTATAGTAGGTATAGTAGGGGCATTCTCACTAGATAGCTTTAAACAATGTTTAGAGTTAGGTGTTCAAAGGCTAGGCGTAACAAGTCGGTGTGATACAGCAAGCTGCCGTCGCGCCGCGTGCCTGCGAAGCTGGTGTGTAACGCCGAAGGGCGGCTATACAGATACAGAAGCTGGTGTGTTACGCCGAAGGGCGGTTATACAGATACAGAAGCTGGTGTGTTACGCCGAAGGGTGGTTATACAAATACAGAAGCTGGTGTGTTACGCCGAAGGGCGGTTATACAAATACAGAAGCTGGTGTGTTACGCCGAAGGGCGGTTATACAAATACAGAAGCTGGTGTGTTACGCCGACGGGCGGTTCTAACGGCTATACAGAAGCTGTTGTGTTACGCCGATGGGCGGCTATACAGCTACAGATATAGACAGATCACGTACACGACAGAATAAGGCTGACGTGTGGACAGTTTAATCGCTTCCAGCCAGCATCGTTTCGCGGATCGACATCACTGGTGGGAAGATAAATGTCTCCTTACGTCTGAACAGTGCCTCAAATGTCGCGCTGTTATTGAAATTTAATAATTCAAATTTTTCATTTTGCACCGACAAGCGTTGGTAATTGGACTATGTGGGTAATTTTGAAACAGATTTAAGACAAAGTCAAGGATAAGCGAGTTTTCAATATAAGGGAAGCACTGGCTTTTCTATGAACAGACATGTGGTAGACACATAGCGTATCCTCATGACGTCATTGGTGCGTCATCCGCAATATTGGTGTCCATCTTTAGATTTACTGATCAATGAATCTCAGAAGAATGACGCGTGTACCCTCCATAGCTTTAGTAGATACGGCCACTTATTCATTAACATCCATCTACAGCATCTCAAGTTATCCTGTTAACAAACAAAGTAACATTCAACAAACACAAAAAGTCCACTGCAGTGATGTAGGAACCCATGGCCATAAAGCCCATTTTTAAACTTGACCTTCCTCTTTACTATTTCTACCCACCTATTAAATCTAATCACGATCTCGAGTTTTCCTGTTCACAAAAAACACACAAAAGATCCACTGCAGTGACGTAACCCCCCCCCCCATAACGGCCCCATTTTTAAACTTGACCTTCGCGTCTTTCCAACGGTAACCTGCCTACCAAAAATCATGAACATCCATTCATGGCATCAAGAGTTATCCACAGTCACCTCACTGTAGCCAAACCAAATGCATAACCTTCTATCGAAGGTACTAGTAACAAGAAAATTGTTGCAATTTACCTCATATGATGAGCGTATTATCCCCGGAAAGGAAGTTTGAAATGTACCTAGTGATTTATCTTACGTCGTGACACGATGATGAACCGTCGTGTCATGCGGCATTGTCGCCACTCCGTATATCTACGTCAGCCGATCCTTTGTGCTTTTGTATGGTCGAAAGAAAGGTGTCTTCGCGTGGAAGGACTGTAAACAATGCGGCGAGGAGAAAGAATTCCTTTCTCAGGTGAATATCAAAGTAAGGTCAGCCGCTTGACAGCGCCGTCTTTCTTTGATTAACGTAGTTTTTTCTTTAAGAACAATTTAACCCATTCAATGTCATAGTCCTTATTGATGCATAGCCTGATTACGACACATAACGTTACACGTATACGTTCACATGCGCTTTCTTTAAAACCCTGTCATACATTCACGAACGCTCCACGAAGTCGTTCCCAAACAGAATGGCTGGTGTTCGGGAGCACTCTGACAAGATTTAGGCCACGCCTACCTTTTGTAGATGACTCAAAAACGAATTTGAGTTAAATTGGAGTCAAATTTGATTCCTGAACACGCCACGAACACTGCTGACTTACAGGTGGTTGGCTTGTGTTTTGCTGACGTACGGTCGAAAACCAGCCAACTATGATCGAACCTCCTGATGAGATTTAAGCTTACTTTACGGTGCTTACATGTTGCTTAAAAGAGTGCCATTGAGCACCATTACGCACAAACTTAAAGCTAGCTTAAAAGTAATATTTAAGCCCGCGTAAAGATTGCTTAAATTTGCTTATTAAAGAGTGCCAAAACGGAACCTTTAAGCATGCTTTAAGACTGCTTGAGGTGTCCTCCCTGGCTAATTTGGCATTTTAGCTTTCCATCGTTTTCTCACAAAGAAATTTAGAAAGAACTATAGTTGTACTGAATATTGATACCTGGGTACAAAAGGGTTATGAATATGATTTTTTGGACCATATGGATGACGTCATCACATTTTATTGCCCCAAATGTAATTATCTTTAAAGTTATAACATAGCACTTTGGTACAAGTAACTGAAATAAAAGTATGATTTTCATGTGCATAATGGTGAAAGCTACAAACGTACGTTTGCACAAATTGATATCTACTGATTGCCCGTAGTTATTAGAGAATAACTAAATTTTAATTAGGCAATTAGGTTATTCTCTAATAACTACGGATAATTAGTAGATATCAATTGTGGCAATAAAATGTGATGACGTCATCCATATGGTCCAAAAAATCATATTCATAACCCTTTTGCACCCAGGTATCAATATTCAGTACAACTATAGTTCTTTCTAAATTTCTTTGTGAGAAAATGATGGAAAGCTAAAATGCCAAATTAGCCAGGGAGGACACCTTGAATAGCCGATTTCGTGCAGTGCATGAACGCCCCGGCTAGTGTTCTGGCAAAAATGCACGTTGTAAGATAAGATAAAGAGGCCAATAGATCACGTCTTCTCATATCCTTCCTAGGTGGGAACCCAATACTGTAAGTAATAAAGATGCCACGGTAAATTTTGAAGGGACGACGGGATCCAGGGGCTCATAAAAACACGACACCGGGATAAGTGGTGCATCTGTGACATATCTCCTACCTATCTCCGTACTCATGGTGGGTAACCCGGTGATATGTCATACTTTTACTGTCAGCGTCGCCCGGGAACACGATATTGTTGTGCGTCGTTCTGAGATTGTTTCGGCTCCCAGGATAGCAGCGGGGTTGTATTTAATCTGCGTGTCTTGTCTCCCAGGTCATGCGCGGGGAGATTTTATCTTTATAGTTTTCTTTTTATCAATTTTTCATCATACAGTTTACGGTGATGTCTGTCTGTGATGGTATGGTCTCTGTGGGTTGCAAAGAGATGCCGTAAATTGAAGACGATACTTATGTCGCAGAATGCCAAATTCCATTCCAAAGGACAGGAAAATGTGTAGGAATGAAAATGAAGAGTCTATCCTTCACCATGCCAATAAAAAATTGTTCAACCTTCATGGCCACCTAGATTTCTCAATGAAGGCACCTTTTTTGCCGAACTTTTTTTATTCGCATGCTTGCATCAGTTTTGGGGTTCCCAGAGGATGTCATCCATATAATCAAATCAATATGGCCTAAGCCAGAAAACTGCCTCGACGACTTTTCCTTCTGTGCCCGTTTAGTAGATTCACCTGCGTGACTAGATATAGGCTTTCTTATACACGTATCAATGTAACTTCAATAGATGCTTCTCAATCTATATCGTAGGGGAGCCTGCATGCCCTTTTTCGTAAGGCGTAATCAGGCCTTCTGAATCTTCGTAATCCGTAGGCAGCCTCCCAAAAAATCAACGTAATTCGTAATAGTACATTAGCCGCAAAGCGTAAAGTCGTAATCAGCTCTGAGACTTTAACGTAATTTGTAATCGGCGGCGAAATGTTTGCGTAATTCGTAATCACTACACCCCCCCCCCATGCAGGCCCTCTTGTAGTAGACATGTATTCTGACACCACATAAGAGCCTTACAAAACTGGCCTACGCCCGTCTGGTCTCTACTCAAATTACGGTATTCTGATTGATTCCTATACAGTAACAGCAAGTAACAGGGCCCAATAATGGTCAACCGACGTTACTTATAAAACTCATTATTATACAAATGAGCCGACAATAAAAAAGGATATCACGTTAATGGAGTCATCAATCTACACAGCGAACTTTCCATCTATCAATCTCTTTTACAAGCCGTGTGCTCAAATATGTCTTCGAATACAGCCAAGTTAGTGACATGGGCCAGAACCCCAAAATTCATATATAGAAACTTTATTGCATGTTCATTCCACGGGGGATAAATGCACAGATGTACAGAGTACAATGCACTAGAATGTACTACAACAATAGTAATATAGAAAGGCTAACATCAGTCTAAGGTATACAATGCTTAAGAAGAAATATAACGTTATATATAAAGTGGTATATATCTACGTTCTAATGGCTTCTTCTCTCTTTTTGAAACATTTTGTAATATACTTACATACTTCATTGATGACGTCTATATTTGTACATGATATGATATATTTAAGTGTCTTCTTTTGATAATGTTTTACATTTTTTGTCGAGCTTAGTTGAACTGAACAG